CGTGCGTGCGTGTGCGTGCGCGCGCGGTGTCAGTGGGAGCCTGGGGCTGCAGATGTCTCCTTTTCAGCCTCAGTTTCACACCCCTGCCCTGCTCTGAGAGAAGGGGGAGTGCAGAAAAAGACAGAAGAGTGTAGCCTCAGACCGTGAAGGAACAATGGCTCCTATTGTCAGGCCTCAGTGCCATTCACAAGGAGCGCAGCCTCCATCACTATCTGTGCGGCTGAAAGTAGCCTCCACACTGCTGAAACACACAAAGTAAGCCAGAGATCCCGTAGACACTGAGCGGATGGAGCCGTCTGGCTCAGATAACATGTGTCTCGTTTGCACGCTGTTGGCTGTGTTTTTCTGACAAACCGCTTACCGTCTCCTGGGTGAGTGTGTTTTTCTTTCTGATGTGTTTGCAGGAAGACCGTTTTGTCAAGAGGTGCCTCAAGCTAATTTGAAGTCAGCCCAGCATCCCCCTGTGGTTGTTTTTGGCGTTTGACGTGTATAATGAGGCGCTGTAGTCAAGTGAATTTCTATTTCTTTTTTCTCGGCTTCCAAAGTTCCTTAGGCTTCCCCTTAGCTAATAAGTTGCCCTTAAGGAAATGGTGTCTGAATTTACTCGTCAGTAATAGGAAATTAAGATATCACACAGTTTCTCATTTTAAAATAAGTGCTACTTGTTGGGGCTGTCGGCACATAAGGACGCAACCACAAAGGCGTCATCATTCACACCTGAACTGTCGCTATCTGGTTCTCAGCACATGATTTCCATTTCCTGTGAATATCACAATATTGTTCACAGTTTTTTATCTTTGTCCAAGTTCACTTTAAATAAAACCCCTCCGAGGTCAGTTCATATACCTTTCTATCTCAACAACGGCAAAAAAGATGTTGACAGCTCTCCCCTTGAAAAGATGAGAGGGCAGTAAGTACGCTTGGTGGCTGCAGATGGCATGTGGAACGGCATTCAGCCCTTACCCCTCTGCTTTACTTTTGGGTCTTATAATTATTTCCTGAACAATGTTTGGTGTTTGTCTTTTTGAGAGAGTTTGTTAATGCAGATGCATGCTCGAGACGTGTGTTCCTCCCAGAACCACCTTTTTTTTTGTTCTGGAGGTGTCCAGTTTTCACAGTGGGGAGAGATGGGACATCCTCGTCCTAACAGAAATATACACACATTTGCATTCACATATACTCCCACAATAGGCCTTTTTCATGCATACACAGCCTTATGAAGTTACCTCCCCGTTATAGATGATAGATGTGATCATAATTTATAAAAAGAAAAACAAAGATTGTGTAATACTTCCAAGTTTCAAGCAGCTGAAATTGATGGAAATGTACAATTATTTTTATCTTTGAGTAACATTAAAAGCACTCTATAAGTAAAATGTTTTATTATTATAAATCTAGTACATTCTAAATCCATTATTACTGTTATAAATCTTCCAACAAATATATTTTCTATTTTATCACCCATTTTGCACTGTATAAATCATTTCTGTCTTAATAATATATTTCCATCTGAGGAATCTGATTTCCATAGATAGTGGGATTGGCCTGTAGCCATTTATAAGTGATTGTTTTTGCTGCTGCTGTAAATATTTTCTATCTAATTAATCTGCGGGTCTAAAAAACAATACACATTTGAAAACTTTCTTTTAGCTAAAAGAAAAGTAATTTTAATTTTTACATCAGTGGGCTTTTTCAACACAGCAATGAAATGCAAATCCGTTTCTGCCGTATCCCATTAGCTTCTGCAGCGACTGGCTTAGGCCACATAATAACAGGTGGTTGTACAGTATATGGGGGCGACATTGTAAACCCTATCTCTGTTAAGAGGCGGTCTCTAGTATCAGATGGGAATCAGTCCACTGTGTCCTGCTCAGTGCATTTGACCCAGTGGATGCTGTGGCTGATTTTGGGCTGATGTCAGGTACTCTTGCAGTCTTCTTCTTGCCTTCTTACCGATTTTGTTTCGTCTTTGTGGGCGTCCTCTTTTTTGGATTTAGAAGCAGAGACGTGTTAAAATCAACCATTTTCTGGGGCATTCTGGTAGCTCATGTAGTACAGCTGGCGCCCCATGTCCTTGCTACAGCGACAATGGGTTTGAAGGCAATAAAAATGAAGCCTCTTCCACCATAACGTCACAAACTCTCATAAGTCGTCCTCAGTATAGGGTTGTCATGAATCCAGAATTTCAAACTTCGATGCAATACTAGTAGGGTGCCAAGGTGAGAAATACACAGAATCTGAACCTGTCTCAGTCTCACTTTTTTCATTCTTCACACAACAACTATTGGTGTGTACAACCGAGTGCAACGATGCAAATATTTTCCAGCAATTGCGCAATTCACAGAATCTCACCTCTCTCAGGCTCTTGGCCTCGCCTTTGAGCACGTCTGCTTGGACTGCTATAAACACTTTTTTCAGCAACAACACATATAAATAGACTGTAAAAAGAAAGAAAGTAGAAGAAGAAGAAAGTAAGAAAATTCTTGTTTCTGTGAAATGACCAAAAAAAAATCTTGTCAGGCATGATTTGCATTACAAAAGTAATCTGGTTTTAATATCTAACTGTGTCTTAATATGATATTCCAGCTAATATTGAGCTCTATTGAAGCAGTAACCAGTAATATCCCAGCAGAGGAACAAGATTATTTTTAAAGGATCACTTGCACAACTTCTCAGTTTAAGAGAAAGTGGTCTTGTCCCAGTGTTGGAAATGAAGCAGCTGTTTGGTTTTTCATTGTTTCAATAAAAAAGTATAAAAATAAGAATGATTCTGGTGCCTTCATTAAAGACAAAGTCACTTACTTTTATCATGCCTGTCTTATTGTAATATAACCAAAATATTGCATAAATATTATCTTCAGAAAGTCTATCTTAAATAACTGAGTTTCCATTGCTTGTAATAAGCACAACTTGCTACATTTTTGAAGTTTTAAGGCCCATTACAGTCTTTCAGTGGTTAGATTTTGATGCTAGTTTTAAGAATTCTAGCCAAGTAAAACTGGCTTACCCCACTGGCCGATTAATTAGCTCAATACATGAAAATGTGATTATATTTAAAAATATGTGGCTTGTTTCTAGAAGGGCTGTTATGTGTGTATGTAGATTAAATACAACTACAGTGCACATTGTGTACATCATAAAGGATGCTTGAGGCTAATGTTGTATGTTGTTGTTGTTTCTGCTGTTTGTTTGTTATGATGTCCATCACATGTCTGTTGCTGCTGCAAAAACAGAAGAGAACTGAACTATCTGATACAAAAGCGCTGTTTGTTTGTGACTGTCTGTGTCTGCCTCTGAGTGCTGTGGTATGTGCGCGCACATGCCCGCATTATGCAAGACTCCATGCTTGTGCACTCTACAGCAGGTTAACCAAAGAAACAAAGCTGACTACTTGCTCATCAAACATCGTCTTTGACTATGATAATAGTTGTTTTGGATGAGTCTGCATCTTCTGCTTTGATTGGAGCCCCGTGCCTTTGTTGGGACGATTTCAGGGCCATTTTGTCTACAAACATACAATATCTTAAATCCACCCACACTCGTCTCTGACTAGGTCCATACAAGCCTGTCTAGTCAGTGCAGTTTATTAGTCAGCTGGGACTTTTATAAACAGAGCTCTTGTGTGTGTTGTCCTTCAATCATAACAGTTCCTTTTTGTTAAAAGTTAATGTTAAGGAGGAAAAAAGTGGTATTGATGCTCTTAAGAAAAATGTTCAAATGTTTGAATGAAACCCATCCTTACATTTTACAGAGGCTTACAGTATTCCTGGAAGCAAGAATAAGGAAAAATAATCTGTGTCAATATCTCAGAAGTGCAGCCATGACCAGCTTTACTCAGTCAGCTGTTGAGGAGAGTCATTGATCATGTTGACCTCTTTGTGAAAGTTTTTGTGTTGCTCTGCTCATAGTTTCACTGACTGATTGACTGACTCATCTTGATTTTTTGTTTCAGCTCTACGATAAGATCAACACCAAGTCTTCTCCACAGATCAGGAACCCCCCCAGTGATGCCGTTCAGAGGGCCAAGGAGGTGAATAAACACACACAAACACACACTCTTTCTCTCCTCCACATTCACACACTCTAACTTTGCACATTTGACCCTTCCTAAGCCCCGCCCCTTTTTGCCCTGAGCTCCAATAACAACACAGAGCCAACCTCGGTCATCTTTCTCCTTTCCTGTACTTAGATATGCTATGTGCTAATCTATGTGGTTGCTAGTATAGTATAGTCACATCATTAGTTAACTTGCTAATGTTAAACGCTAGCTAAGCTACATCTGAAAGGTAATGTTAGCAAAATACTAGCTAACATGCTATTTCATTTACATAAGATAAAATGAAATAATCCTTTATTATCCCACATCAACATCAATCATTAGCTAGCTAGCTACATTTAAAAGCAAATGTTACCAAAGTGCTAGCTAGCTAGCTAATTTACATCAGTCTTTATGCTGCATTCACATGGATTCCGGCAGGCGGAGGACAGCATGGGAAAAGTGTTGAACAAAAACAAAAAAATCACGGTATATGAAAAAGATTAATGTGTGTATATTATTGTATGTAATTTATTAATTATTAGCATCTCATTGTCCAGATTGTCCATGTTTTTTTTTTTTCTTGTGTCCTTCCTTAACTGTTGCCGATATTCTCTGCCGGCCTCACCCAATTTTACCGTCCCGCTCTCATCCACTAATATGACATCCAGTTTGCCGTCTACTGTCTGCCAGAATCCATGTGAATGCATAACATTAGGTGGCATACATAAGATGTGACTACATATGTGTCATTTTTTTCTTTTATCATCTGTGGTTGTCTTTTCAACATAGATTAGCCTAGCACGTATCATATCTAAGTACAGGAAAGGAGGAAGCTGACTGAGGTTCTGACTGAGCAACAGGCTTATATGCACTCCATGTTTGTGCTGTTCCTCTTCATGTGATGTGTGATAAAGAATTGAATATACTGTACAGATGACAGACTCACTGACTGCTGGCCTCTCTCTAGAACACCTTAACCTCACACTTCTGTCGGTGCTCAGGCTGTATTAATCCTTCTGGCCTCTTGCTCACTAAAGCTCTAACTCATGACTGCTGTGGATCATTCTGCTCACCTGCTTTGCTCATTTAAAGCAACAACCTAAGTGTGGGGTTTGGGTACAACCAGAGGCCCTCAGCGTGTGTCTAGGGTGGCCTCAGCAAAGTGGGAATAATTCAACTATAATTTCAAACCTTAGAGCTAATCTTAATCTTAAAAATGTATAAGAAAATATTGTAATATTTAAAGGAAATTTTTTAAATATTTAAATAAAGAGTTTTCTCTCTAGGACTGTGGACATTTGTCACGTCTTGCTGAAAACTGTTAATATTGGATCAGTGTAATTCTGAGCTGTCATGAGAAAAAAAAACAATTATTTGAAGCCAAGGTTTAAAAGGTCATTCATGCCATTTGAGCAAGTTTTACAACTTTGGGGACCACAAGAGCATCACAAATTTTCCAATTTTCAAATTGATGGGAAAAATCCGTTTGGTTCGGTTTTTGAAATATTGACCTAAAGGTTTTAGCTTTTTGGCTTGCAGTGTCCACAGTCCAATAAGGTTGAAGCTGGATTATACATTATGCAAGCAGTCATTGGTTTATATTTCAGCATCACACATTGAAAGCACTACAGCAGCACTTTGATTCTTTCTTTCGATTTTATTTTTTTATTTGATTCCAGTGTGAAGGGGCACAACAGGTGAGTGCCCTGAAATTACTTGCATGACGAACGTAGATCTATAGTGACATAAAAGTCAGGTGAATCCTGATATGACTGTTCACACTGAGGTCACATTGCAAAAAATCAGTTACTGAAAAGAATATTACGGAGCTTTTTTATTTGTTCCAAGTTGTCTTCAGTATGAACAGACTCCACCAGCTTTAGAAACTTCGGAATCAGAAACGTGTTTCTTGCCAAGTAAGTTTACACATACAAGGAATTTGTCTTAGTGCATTAGGGTTAAGGTGCATAACAATCACAAAAAATCAAGTACTTTTTAAATATAAATGAATATAGAAAGATCTAAAGCTGTACAAGAATGATATTTCCAATGTGCAAGATAGAAAAACCAACGGGAGTGTAATGCATATATACAGGGTGGGTTTAAGAGCCAGCGTCAGTGGGGGATCCGGGCCTTGTTAATGAGGCCAGTGCAGACGGAAAGAAACTGTTTTTGTGGCGTGAGGTTTTGGTCCTGATGGTCTGCCGCCTC